AAAAAAGGACTTGTGTCACTAAAGTTTCGTTGGAACGAAGTTACGGAAAATTAACTAACGAACGGAGACGTAACAATACTAAAAAGTTGGTACACATAAAGAGGAAGAGATTCAGTAATCTGGAATGTCGTAAATGGCCAAATCCCTTACAGGGTTGATAACAGGCCCAACGAGAGGGCGAGTAAGCCGTGGGTATTTCTCCGAAGCCCATGAGTGTTCCTGGCGACTCTGGTTAGTGGTGCTTAACTTAGCTTGACTCAATACCACTTTCTGAAAATGTAGTGTTTGCCAAAGACCACTCGTAAGTGTGTATCAATTAACATGGGCCAGATTGTATTGATTCAACGAAATCAACTTTCAAAACTTTAATATAAGTGGTTTAATCACCACATTCTCGCTCTTAACGCTCCGAATACACCGTTTATACTGAAGAAACGATGTTTTTTTTATATTTGGTATGAATCAGTGAAAATTATTTAATAATGTCGTATTTTTTAATCAAAAGATAATGTGTAAATATAAAAGGAAATATATAAAAACATGTTGGCTATAAACTTATTTTCACATGAATATAAATAATATTTCGACAGATTTCAATAATCCGTTTGTGAAAAGCAAAGTATACTTTTAAACACAAAAACTTGAATAAATTTATAGACAAAATGAATTTTCAAACTGTTATTAAAATATAATAATAAATATCCCAGACTACAAAGCTTTTACCACTAGATGGCAGATTAATCATCGTCTAGTGGAATTACTGGTTTAGAATTGTGTATCACATACGTGGGTAGAGATACTTTAGATATAAGAACTAGGCTACTAAGATCGATTAACCACGATATATGCCTTAACATATTTTCATTTGTTTTATTAGGGTCTAAGTTGCAACAAAATCTTGTCAGTTACTAGATAAGAATAATTTAGTATCTGATTTGGAGAAAATATAAATAAAATATTAACGAGTTTTCGAAAAGAAATGTCAAAATCTTGTTTTTCAGACAGTAGGAATAGTTTTATGAATATGAAACATTTTAGCTTCATCCCGAACAAGAGATATGGTTATATAACTAATCTATCTTTGTGTAATCGGGATTCATTTGGATTATAACACATTTTTACACACAAAAACTGTATCACTTGAGTTCTTTTTTCCCCACAAATATTTTTAAGGTTTAATCTAACAAACAACCTTTGTTTGCATTTCTTTCCTATACAATACAGTTTTTGCTTAGTTGTGGCTTTTTAATTATTTTATTTTGGATAATTCACGCAAGATTTAAGGCTACCTAAGGTCACGTAACATTAGCTCCGTGTAGGGCTACTAGCAAAGAAATATCTGCTAACCTTGCTGAAATGATCATTATATGAAGAGGGAAGACAGTGTAACACGAATAGGAGCTCTGTGGTTGGAAGACTCTAACTCTAAACCTAGCCGCGCCCTCTTTGCGACTCCCCTCTGTAAACCTAATATAGTAGCCGAAGTCGTTTGAGTAAGAAGATCCTAGTCTTCCGTGCCTAAACTAGTATGCCGAGCGCGTGGCGGCACGAGCGGCGGTGAAACCCATTTTCGAAGATCGACTGAGTTAGACACGACCAGTAGCTAGGCCTACTAGCTGACTGACTGCCTTCTCGCTTGGGATTTTTCTGGGCTGTGGTTTCGATCAGAAGAGTTATTTCGTCTCCGTTTCAGTCCTTAACGGGAGACTCACCGGACTTCTTTTCTAACCCACAAGCAAGTAGCGTTATAATAAACGTTTTGATTCCCGAGTGAACTGAAAATGGCTAATCCCGACATGTACAACGAATCCTTCAATGAGAGATACATGGATCAAGAAGAAGAGTGGGAGCGTGAGGGGCTCCTCGATCCTGCTTGGGAAAAACAGCAGCGGAAGGTTTGTTCTTACAATTTATGTTTTCCTAGCCATGTTATTCTAGTTTATTGTTTGTTGCAAGTTCAATTGATGATGCGAAAACAATGTATTTGTTAACATGAGTTTTTGAAACTCTAAGTGAGTGATACCTGAACTTTATAAAGAAAATTTTCATTATAACCTAGGTGGTTTCCGTACAAACAAATTTTCAAAACAAAAATGCAGTTTTATAGAAACTCACGTATGTACTGTTCTGACATTAATCGAACATCTGTAGACGCTCTCAATAAGTGAATGGACTCTTTATCACATTGTATTTATTCGCCTTAAACTGAGCAATACCAGAAGAACTGTGATCATACTTTATATATATAATGGTTTTTAGGCTTTAGATGACCTTGAAGTATAAGGTCACGCCAACTTTTGAAACTTAGTGTGAATTTTTTAAGCAGCAGGAAACAATTATAAACATATACAGCATCAGTTTTAAGTTTTAGTATTTAATAAATTTGTGATGTCAGAATTGTGTAACCAATCCTCATTATAATAACCTTTTCCACAAAATAATACAACCAATCATTGTTAGAATAATCTTTTCCACAGAATAATATAACCAATCATCGTTATTTTAACCTTTACCACAGAATAGTATAACCAATCAGTTTTAAAATAGTTTTTCTAAATAATATACCAATCGTTGTCTTATTAACGTTTATAATAGAGTAATATAACGAGATGCTGTTTGACTAAAGTTTATCATAGAATGTAACCAATCGTTACCTTATTAACGTTTGCAATAGAGTAATATAACCAAATGCTGTTTGACTAACGTTTATCATAGAATATAACCAATCGTTGTTTAATTAATCTTTTTATCGGAATTTTCCACATTTTTACATCTTAGATAAACCTGAAATTGTTTAAATTTTAACTCTCAGATAAGCGTGATAAAGCCCCTTTGGTTTTTAGTTACCCCCACCTGCGGTTCAAGTGTAAAAATAGTTCGGTAAAGATACTTGAACTTAGGGACTTTCGATGAATAAGCATTTTGTATTTGATCAAGGGAGCCCTGAAAAGCTCTTTAGGGTTTGAATGCAGATGAAAAACTAGACCGCTTGGATTTTTAGTTTAAACATGGCGTTGCTTAATTGGTTAATCACGTTACAGTTTAACATGACGTTGGTTGAATCTACGTTGGTTGGTTATCGAGCAAAAATATGAACTTAAGTCATTTTGTCAGAATGTTTTATTTGTAGACCCACCACAAAAAAGTGCAGAATCGTCGCTTGAATTGGACGTTTGTGTCAGCACTTCAATTAAGAACAGCGATGCTTTGATAGTTTTCTGGCCTCCTTTGTTCTTAGCTTGGAGAACTATTCGTACCAGCTTTAAGTCTCTCTTTGTTTAATCATGCAACATATATATATATATATATATATATA